TCACATAAATTGGTCACAACCAATTTCGAATTTTCCAACAATTTCCATTGTCGTGAGCCGAGAGATCCACTTCCACCTAACGCCACACCTGTTCTGAATTACTAGCCACACGATCGTTACCGTCCTCCATCGTCACCGCCGTCGAATCACGTGAACAGCCTAAATTTCCACCGCACCCAACTCCACATCTGCATCTATGTCTTCTAATCTCAATGGTAGGAAGCGTTTCAGAACAAGGTTCACACAAGATCAAAATCGTACATAAATTCGTCCCCAAATCCATTGCACTGATTAATGGGCATGAACATCACGTGACACTTTAGGGTAACGGATGATGAACAGGGTAAGCAATTGAATACATGTGTGAGCAATATGTATATGTTTAATTCTTCAGTGAACGGGAGAAATGTAAACTAAAGCTGGGCAAGTATTGATTAAATTTACTCTGACAAACAAACATGCCCTTAGTTAAACCGCTTCAAATTTTATTTTTTTCAATGGAGACGCCGGTGGCACGAGGCATTATCTCCAATTTATAGTGCATCTCATGTAGCGAGTTGATTTGATTTTCACCTTTAATTTAAAGGTATTTTGGTTCTCAACATTTGATTAATGTTGCAGCAGTCGAAGGGAAATGTGGGACCCGGAGATGATAGGGTAAAGGAAATTGTTTGTAGCCCTGTAATTAGAAAGATCCTGTCAGATTTGTTACTTTCTAAGCCAGCAATCAGAGAAGAGGATCGAATTCCTGTATCCTACTCTTGAATTTCCTTACGGTACGGATGTTTTCTTTTGTTGTTACTGTCACTCTGTTCAGTTTTGATTTGTTTAATTTTTCGTTCTGAAGAGCATGTGTTATTGTTGAGAAATTATATCTAAGAAATGATAGACAATGTAGAGACGTCTAAAATACTAGAAATGTCAAGAAGGAAAATGATGCAGCTGCTCAAGAATAATTTTTTACAGAAAATCCTAAACTTTGACCATTGGACATTTGAACACACGGAGTGAACCTGATAGCTCTGTTAACACCAGGAGACTCGAACAATGGAGATAAAAAGATTATTTTTAGGATGCAATAAAAGCAAGTGCACAAATGCTGGAGAAACTTATTTATTTTAATTATGTTACCATCAAGCCCCTTGCACTTCCAGCAGATCATTTTCATTTTTTAACAAAAACTTTATATGTGGTGACAAGACTTGATCTAGGATTTTGCTTGCTAAAAGCTTATTTTCTATGTTATGTCTTCGTCAAATTTTACATCTAGAAGTAGAGCTAGTTTGTCCACTACATTATGTCTTCTATAGATTCATATGGAAGTATTCGGGATCCAAGCAACCAAATGTACCACCTACCCATATTGTTAAGTGAGGCTTATCTTTGGTACTGATCTCGAGTGTCCAAACTCAGATACTAGGCTCATGAAGCACATGAATGCAAGTAAGCCCGGGCACTTGCAACTTCTGCAGTAATATGTAGACTGTTCTCCCAAAAAATTGTCAAGATGCTAGGCTCATCATGAAGATTGTGAGAGAGGGTTCCATTGGACACATTCACATACTAATAATATAACTCCAGCCTCCGAACAGCATCCTAACAATTTCACTATTTACTTGTGGTTTATATGCGATACAATAAAAACGTCATTTATGAACTGACCTACTCGACTCTGATTGATTATATCGGACGTTTTTCAGCCACTGTGCTTTCACTTGTCAACATTCATTTGTAGATAGTACCAAGTCCCCCTTTTCCGAGAATTCGACTTTCATTAAATTTGTATGTTGCATTCTTCAACTCTTCAATCATGAAGAGTTTGTGAAGTGTACTAACAACTTAGCCCCTGTTTGCCCCCCATTAATTTAAATTTTTGGGGGGTAGATAATTTTTAGAATAGTGATTGATGGGAGATGTGTGGTTGAAAAGTTTTTGATTTGTGTGTATTATTATTTTATTTGATGAATGGATGGTTGAGATGAAGAGAGAGAAAAAATTAATGTAATGGAATGTGATANCATTCTCATTTTTCTACAGTACTCATTTCTAACCACACATTCTTCAAATAAAATAATATTACACATAAACCCAAAAATTCTTCTTACTTTTTAACCACACATTCTTTACATTAATTACTATTCAAAAACTCATTCTTCAAAATAATGGGTGTCAAACGGGGGCTAAATTTGTATGTTGCATTCTTCAACTCTTCAATCATGAAGAGTTTGTGAAGTGTACTAACAACTTATCATAGAAGCTAAGTTATGTACGATCCTTGAACTATGTGCACCTGCATATGCATCCACAGTACATGAAATCTGGGCTTTGCGAAATTGTCCCTACCTCCATCGTGGATGATAACTGGGCTGCCACTAATGTGGACATTTCTACAAAAGGGCTACTTAGACTTTTCGCATGTCAGACATCTCTCGTTAAATTATGAATAATAGACATTTTTCTTTTTTCACCAACTAAAAGGAATTTCCATCAACTTTCCCCTTAAAAAATTACTTGTAAGTAAAATCACTCATAAGTTAAAATGTTACTTTATGTAAAAAAATTCACTTATAAGATAAAAAATTGTTTACATGTAAAAACTTCACTTATAAGTAAAAAATGAGCTTACTTAATTAGTAAAAAGTTCGCCTATAAGTTAAAAAATTTGTATAGGACAAAAAAAGATTAAAAGTAAAGGATTTACTTTTAAGTAAAAAACAAAAAACTTATAAAAAAAACTATATTTTATTTATTTATAAATACTTTAACATTTACTAATATGGTGTAGTAGCAAAAGCCTTATTAGAAGAATACACCATAATTCACCTTAATACAATCTCCTAATCATATTCTCCATAATCTATCTTTCATAATTCTATCTCACCTAATCCAAGAGGTGTACCAAATGTACCTTTAGTGCAATTAAAAAGTGATAAACAAAAGACAAATATGGTGTCAATATAACTATCCGTAAGTTCTGAGCTTTGGAATCTAAATAAAAAGAAGGCGGAACCAATGAAGTATTAACAAAAGTTACTTATGTTAGTTATATGTAATACCTAAAATATTAAACTATTTATTTTCAGCTGGATGCTTAAACCTACTTATAAGTAGTTTAGTGCTAATTTGGCTAGGCTTTAAATATTTACTTTAAGTGGTAACAAAGCTAAAGCTACTTATAAGTTTTTTACTTTTCAAAAAGGGGATTAGGGAAATTGTTCAAAGCTGTATAATAAGAAGAATCCTGATAGATTTGCTGCTATGCGTCCTAGAAGAGGATCAAATTCGTTACAACATTACTTACTGTTGAATTTCCTTATGCTGCGGATGTGTTTCATTTTATTGATTGTTTCTATCTGTATGCTTACTTTTGATGTTAGTTGAATTTTGCAAATGTAATTGTCTCGCTCCTTCCAAAGAAAATATGCCATTATACAGAAATTGTATCAAAGAAATGCATTAGAAATGACAAGAAGAAAGAAAATACTTCTTAACAATGGTTTTTTGTAGAAGATTTTGAAATTTGATCACGATACATTTCAATACATGTAGTTGAATGTGATAGCTTATTTAATATATGAAGGAAAATTCTAACTTTCAAATTCAAGTGGAGCTAGTTTGTCCACAATCTCATTTAATCGTTCTCTTGCACAGTTTCATTGATGCTATTGGAGCTTGAGCTTGGACTTGAGGAATATTGATTGTCCTGAAAACTCTTTTCAAGAACTGAATGCTCTCTTGTCCTCCTCAGCTGTTCAAGTTCTGATGCCACTTCTTTCATGCTTGGTCTCCTCCTTGCTAAAAGCTTTAGGCATCTCTTGGCGAGCTTGGCAACTGCAACAATATCCTCTTTGCGACCTTCATTTGCCACTAGCTTCTCTAGAATCCCATACAAACAGTTCTCTTTCAGTGCAAATCGGAAGCGTATTGCTAGACCCTCATTGCTGTTTTTGGAAGAGATGGCTTTTTGACCTGTTAGGAGTTCAGCAAGAACTACCCCAAATGCATAAACATCGCTCTTGTCGTTTAGTTGCCCTGATTGGAAGTATTCAGGATCTAAGTAACCAAATGTGCCCCCTACGATTGTTGTTAAGTGAGTCTTATCAATGGATACTGACCTTGACAGTCCAAAGTCGGACACTACAGCCCTATAATTCTCATCCAACAATATGTTGTTTGACTTTATGTCTCTGTGAAAAATGGCCGTTGAAGCATATGAATGCAAGTAAGCCAGGGCTCCCGCAATTTCTGCAGCGATACGTAGACGGTTGTCCCAAGAAATTGTCGAGACGTTATGCTCATCATGAAGATGTTGAGAGAGGGTGCCTTTGGGCACATATTCATATACTAATAATGGAACTTCAGCCTCCAAACAACAACCTAACAATTTCACTATATGCCTATGGTTTATATGGGACAGAATGAAAACTTCATTTATGAACTGACTTACTTGACTCTCATCAATGATATTGGACCTTTTCACAGCCACTATGCTCCCATCTGACAGCATTCCTTTGTAGACAGTACCAACTCCTCCTTTACCAATAATACGACATTTGTTGAATTTGTCTGTTGCCTTCTCCAACTCTTCGATCACAAAGAGTTTTGTTTCAGGAAACACATTTCCTGTACTCGAAGAGATCTGTTGTTGAAGTAGTAAACCACCATTTCTCTTGAAGAGCTTCTGCTTAACTTTCCTTTCATTCATTTTCTTAATTTTACGGAAGAGCCAGAGAGTAATAGCTGCCAGAATTAGAAGGCCAGCAGCAAGGCCAACTCCTGTTTGCACAGCTAGTATTAGCAGATTTCTAAGATTGAATGAAGGCAAAGAGTGGAGAAGGATATACCTAAGGGAATGAACAATGCCAATATATGTCCTCGACTACGTTGGCAATAGTGGCTTCCTGGTATGTTTATGCAGCGGCCCTTCTCTTGGCAGTCATTGTGATTGGGCTTTATACATTCATCAATATCTGCAAAATTGAAAACAAAGTGCAAGAAAAGATTATCTTATTGTTGTCTGGAAATTAAATGTCGTCATGGGATAGAGAAGAAAATTTGCTTATGAGTGGGCAGTTTGTTGTTTCTATTTACTTGTGACATATGACTTATGCTTTGCGAGGTTGCTCCTATTAATTTCTCCCCATTCACCATTTTTATGATCCATCCTAAGGATACTAAAATAAATAAAGTCAAATTTACAGTTGAGTAGATTAACATTTTACTCAATTCACTTCTTTCTTTGCTTTATACATTCATAACTGAAACAAAGTTTGGGCATATGGAGGAGAAGGGACAAGTCTTGGAAGAGAAGGAAGAAATTTTACCTTCGCATCCCTTGGGGAGGTAAGGATTTCCTTGGTAACCTGGATTGCAGATGCATCTATATCCCCAATCTCCATCATTGTCATAGCAATTACTATTCGGGCCACAGCGACAGTCATTTTTTTGCTTTGCGTTGCTGCAACTGGTGTTTCCAACTGTCCAGTTAAAGACTACAGGGACATAATACCTTTCATTACAAGCTGAGAAATTATGTCGATGATCAATTTGGATGTCCGTGGCTACAAAAAAGAAAAAGCCACATGGATCTGATGGCCAGGACTCTTTCAAGGTATTTATTCTATTAACCCACAAAGTAAAAATTGAGAAATCTTTTGGTAAACTTGACTGGCAGCAACCAAAGCCTGAGCAAGATGAAGTGGATCTGACTATGTCAGTGCGGTTGCAGAGAGATCCACATCCTGTGAGGAACTCTTTACTTGTATTATCAACGATGTAGGCATACAAATCACATCCCACTACAACAAACTTATTTTTTGTGTGGGACAAACTGAAACGTCTAAAATTAAATTCCGGGGTGGGTTTTACTCTCAAACTTTCTCCTGATGATCTATTGAAAGTCATATTTAGAACTGGGAAGTTGGAAACCCTTACATGGTGATGTGGTATGGAGATGTGTTCTATCTTCATTTTGAAGTCAACTAGAAAGGCAGAATTCGATGAATCGTCGCATATGATTTCAAATTGCCCATCAAGATAGCAGCCCTTCTTTATGCCGAATGGATAAGGAATTTCTACGTTTCCACATTTTTCTTGGCAACCATCCAATGCCAAAGAGACTGCAGCTGTTTTATGGGATTGGAAGAATATTGAGATTATGCATACTATCATTAGATGAAGAAGCAGTCTACTCTTAGGTACCATTTCTGCTAGACGCTCTCACTTCCAGTTGGTATATATGCTTCTATTTTAATGAATGATGAATCTTATTACCACGCATGTTTAAATACTGGTGCAGGCCATCTTTTTCAAAAGACTAATGGAAATTGGGGTCCCGGTTGGTAGGAATCAACTAACTGTGCATTTTGAATATTGATTGAGCGTGTTTTTGACGCGTGTTAATTGTTAATGCTTTTTTCCTATAGCTACTAACTTTTTGTACTATTAGACTCCCTTGATTTAGTCTCTCTTGGTTTCT